CCTGGCCCCCCCGCCTAGGAGCCAGACCTGCTGGCTGCTTCCAGGGAGCACACAGCGTGGTGCCAGGACAGGCAAGCATCCTGCCTTAGCCCCCCCCCGCTGCACCGCTGACCAGGAGCCGCCCAAGGTAAGCCCATGCCCCAACCCCAAGCCCCACCCCAGCCCTGATCCCCCCCAAAACCCGGAGCACCCTCTTGCACCCCAAGCCCCTCATCCCCGGCTCCACCCCAGAGCCCTCACCCCCAGCGCAGAGCCCTCACCTCCCTTGCACCCCAACCCCCTGCCCCAACCCAGAGCTCCCTCCCAAACCCCTCATCTGTGGCCCCACCCCAGAGCCCTCACCCCCTCCTGCACCCCAACCCCCAGCCTCAACCCACAGCCCCCTCCTGCATTCCAAATCTCTTGGCCCCACCCCCCAGTCTGGAGCCCCCTCCTGCACCCAAAACCCCTCATCCCCAGCCCCACCCCAGACCCCACACCCCCCAGTTAGAGCCCTCACACACACCCCGCACCCCAACCCCCAGCCCAGTGAAAGTGAGTGAGGGTGGAAGAGAGCGAGCCACCGAGGGAGGGGGAATGTAGTGAGTGGGGGAGCGGGGCCTTGGGGAAGGGGCAGGGGCAGGGCCTCGGGGAAGGGGTGGGGCTAGGGTGTTTGGTTTAGTGCGACTAGAAAGTTGGCAACCCAGCTTGTTGCTCACGCAGCAATGGATGAAGCTGATAAATGACACTGTGATATTTAACTGGTGCCATCACAACATTTGCATCATGATGCAATACTCTTCGTTTTGGGGCGAACCCTTTCAGAGTGTTAGGCCTGGATCCACAGGTGTAGGAACACCCTGTTGGAATCTAGTCATGCAAGATGCTGAGCACTAAAGCTGGTTGGAGGCGGGGGAAATCCCCCATGGAAAATTTTGACTTTTTTCGTCAAAAAAACAAAACCTCAAAACCCCAAAATGTTCAGCTAAAAACTAAAAAAAATTTGGGTTTTGAATTTTCAGTTTTCTGTTTAAAAAAAAAATAAAAAATGGTGATAAAGCAGATACTTCCTGTGAAAATCTTAATTTTGTTGCAAACAATCTTCCATTGGAAAAAAAATTAGATGGAAAATTTTTGGCCAGCCTACTGAGCCCGCTTATTGTGTTGACTTAAATATTTCCTCATGAGACATCTCTCCACACCTCTGATTATTCGGTTAGTCCCAAGCGTTTTGCAGAATCAAGGCCCTTAGCCCATCACCTGGTTCATATGCCCCTTTGAGTCATGGCATGTCATCTCCTGACTGATCTAGAACTGGTTGACATTAGCCTCTCTGTAACCTCCACTGCAAATATCCTTTGTGCCCATCCCTGAGGGCTAACAGACGGAAGCAGCAAGGCATGTAAGTGTTAGGAGTGTTAGGAGAAGAAAGAGTAGACGTTGTTTTGTGCATGCTCTTCTTCATGCTCTGAGCACCTGCTTCGGACTCTATACTGACCATTGTAATGACGATTATTGTTGACACAATAGAGTGCTGTTAAAATGACTACACTAGGAGGAGCTGGTTGGTGTTGAATGTTCTGCCCAAATACAATATAAACACATCCAGCAACACAGGTGCATTTAATTTGAAAATAATAGTCCAAGCATATGCATGCTTTCACTTCCCCCCAGGACAGCCCTCGTTGTTCCATTAATAGTTGTGATATTGCCTGTTTGTACAGTTCCAGCACACCAGAACAGTCAGGTCATCTGTTTTTAGAAGTCAGTGGGGGTCCCAGGGCCTTCCCTCGGTGCATGTAAGTCCTCCATTTAAATCAAAAGCTCTGCATGACACTATGGTTAATACAACTGCTACTGCTACCAGCAATAATATAATTAGAGATGAGCTGACCCCCAGATCCAAACCCCTTTGTGTATTAGATAGGAGGAGAGGGTGTTCACATTTGAATTCCCTGTTCCAGACCTGCCTCTCTTGTTTTGGTTCTGGGTCAGATCCTGAACCTATTTTCAGATGTGGCTGAAATATGAGAGTGGCTAGTCTTGAGAGTTCCACCATGTCCTGGAACAAGCTAACACTCACAACTGACAGGTTCAGCTGAAACAGTTTCAGGCTTTATTCCAAGAAAACAACACAGAATGTAGCAGGTAAGGAACCAGGCAGCTGTTGTGTTGAGGAGACTGTGACTGGCACTCACTGAATTCTTCTATAGCTGGCATGGGCAGCCTCTGGAAAACCAATAGGGGTAAACGATACTAATTCAATTACAAACCCTGCACAGGCTACCTGAGTTCCTTAAACAGCAATCAGGAAGATGGAACTTTTGTGGGATCAACTGATCTTGTGAGGCTTCTACTACTTGGTGCTGAAATCTTACGATGGCAGCTCATAGGACTTTAGTACCATTGAGCCCAAAGGCAGGATTCAGCCTCAAATCCAGGCCCTAGAGCTGAGCCTAGATCTAATCTGCACCTGCACACTCCTTCTTCAGCCCATCGTTACTGACACAAAATTGTCCCTCCAGTTCTTTTCAATTGAGGATGTCAAAGGATTTCACAGATGTTATTGGCCAAGCAAAGCGAGGCCCTAAACACAACTTGATGGCATTTCTATGTTTGTCTGTATGCAGCACAATAACTTTTGAAGGCCGCATCCAGTGAATTCCAGAACTTCACGGAATGTGCTAGGCATCAATGGGCAGAATCCGCTTGATTTTGGTGACAATCAGAAAACTTGAAAAACCGTTTGTAGGAGTGTCAAAGAGACAGACACAGTCCAACCCTGTTCCCGCATGTGAGTGGCTTCTCCTCGCTGCACTGCTCTCAGGACATTACATGGCACCCCACACACTTCTGCCCCTGCACAGGCAGGAAACAGGCCAGCCCCATGAAGGGGGGATACACTTTGTTGCTTATGTAGTTGAGCTGTAATGGTCCCTCCTCCCTCCCACCCCAGTCCCCTCTGGGTAGGGTGGCCATTCACACATTCCTGGAACACAGGGCATTCCAGTACTTTTGGGAATGGTGTGGGCCTGCCCCTGCTGGTGTGACATCAAATGTGCAGTGTGATAAGGTCACGCCACGCAGGAGGTGTCATTTTTTTAAAAGCATGTTGCTCTGCCCCCGCCAGCGTGACCTGTGCAGAGCAATATTCTCTTCAAAAGGGCATCCCCCATCCAATACTGGACAAAACCACATGCAGTTTTGTCTGAGTACGCGATGGGGGGCAAACCCTGGAAAAGCAAATGACTGTTCAGTTTAATACTGAATGAGTGGCCTGCCTACTTCTCGGACCCTGCTTCCACCACTAAAAATGCTTCCTCTAAGGCTTGGGAATGGGGGGGAAGCAGGGACCTGGAGGGGAGTGAGCATTGGCAGGGGAGGGGGAGTGGAATGGGAGGAATACAGCTCTGCCTACCTAAGCAACATACGCAATGAAGTGTGCAACCCTCTAGGAAAGAAGACACATGCAGAGCCCCTGGCATGGGGTTCGGGGGGGGAAGAATGGGACACCCTGGTATGGGGGAAGGGATCAGTCAGGGGGCACAAAGAACCCCTGGTGGTGGTGGGGTGCAAGGAATAGCTGAATAGAGTGGGGGTGGACGGGTAGCACATGGAGAGCTTGTGGAGGGAATGGAGAGATGCAAGGAGCCTCTAGTGCATGCAATGAACTCAGCTGACAGAAGCTGTGGAGTGTGTGACCCCTGCCCCCAATTTTATCAGGTCTCACAAAGCTCCTGTGGGGCAGGTCAGTATCATTGTCACCATTTTACAGATAACCTTTGTGTGCCTTGGTTTGTATAAGTGACTTGCCCAAGGCCAGGCAGCGACTCAGTGTCCAACAGGGCCGCCCGGGGGGCCAGCTGTCTGCTAACCACTGGCCCACACTTCACTGCCATTAACTAGGAGGAATTCCTTATGACCAGGGCACTAAGATATGTCATCAGATACAATAATATGCTGTGTTCATTAGCAGGATGTGTCTGAGAAGGGAGTGTAGCCAGAGTGAGCGCAGGATGTGCTGATTCAGCACACTGCCTCAGTCTGCTGGCAGGACTCGGGACCCCTCGCTGCAAACTGGAGCTACCTCTGCCAGTGGAAGCTCCAAGGGAGGGTGGTGGCGGTAACACAGCTTGTCCTCCTTTGGTGTGAATTCCTCCTGGCGTGGAGACTTTTGCTGGAACAGGAAGGTGTGAATGGTAGGAAGGAACCATAGTGATGGTTATGGTGTTAAAAACATGAGAGAGAGTGTGTGTGTACGTGTACATACAGGAGAGTCCCAGCTTTGCTCTATGACCTTGGACAAGTCTTTTTGCTTTTGTGTGCCTCAGTTTCCCCATCTGTAAAATGGAGATGATCATACGCGCTTTCCTATCCTCAGATCCTCGGTTGGCCACATGTGAGATATCATTGTAATTCACACTACTTTCCATCAGCACCAGTGAAGCTGCCCCCAATACCTGATCAACCCCTGAGAGCTCCATTGCTACTGGAAGATAACTGCAGGAACATTCAGGGCCCAGCTGTGGGTTGCGGATGGCGTGGAGCCACTCTGTCCCACAGAGAGTTTGGGGAGGATTGTCCTACAGTCCCTCTCTCAGCTCTCAAATATGCAGGGGTTTGGCAGTGGAAGCTGCTCAGGCTTTGGCCCTGCCTCTGTTCCCTTTAGTGCATTATTCTTCCCCATGGTTAAATGAATAGAGCAGCAGGCACTGTGCTCTTCTAAGCTCAGATGCTGTGATTGTGACCCGCTGGCCCTTTAATGCCTGGGCATAGTGTGTGTGTGGGGGGGAGGCAGTGTCTCCTTGCACCTTCCTTCTCCCCCTGCAAACCTGCACAAAGGCCAAGCACAATTGGGCCCCTATTGATGAGATTTTCAAAAGTGCTCAGCACCCAGCAGCACTTACTGGTCTAGGTGGGGAGGTGCTGGGTGCTGAGCTCTGGAAAATCCAGCACCGCAAATTGGAGAGATGCAGCGTACGCAGTGAAAGCATTAACAATAATGTGTTTTTTCTTTACAGGTAAAAGAACTGGGCAAGCATGTCGCTGGCTTCCTGGTTCAGGTGGAATGAGCCACCGAGCCGGATTTCCCAAAGGAGCCCCACAGAGATGGTGGTGGAGACACTAATGATGGAACTAGGCTGGCAGATCAAGCAGGCAGAGAAACAGCAACGAGAGAGAGAGAATGAATATCGCAAGATAAAGACGGGCGTGGACTACGGCTGGCTGGTTAGCTACCCAAAGCCTAAGCACAGCTATGACATCAGCCCAGGGGAGCGGCTGCAGCTGGAGGACATGTGCACCAAAATACATCCCTCCTACTGTGGGCCAGTCCTACTCAGGTACAATGGAGGCTTGTAGACACAGGACTGCTGCACATCCCACACAGTGAGGCAGATTTCCTAGTGGTTAGAACACAGGACTGGGAGTTGGCATGCCTGTGTTTCAATGCAGGCTGTGACAGTGACTCACTGTATGACCACTGGCCAAATAACCGTTGTGCCTCATTTTCCCCATATGTAAAACAGGTATAATAATACTTGCCTTGCACTGTTGGTATGAGAGTCAATTAATGTTTGGTGCTTTCAGATACCTCAGATGAAAGGTGCTACAGAAGTATTAAGTATTATTCATTATTTGTTATAATGAGAACCTCAAATTCACAATCAGAAAGCAACACTACATGTACGATCACACTGATATTTATTGCCATTTACTACAGCTGATTATTTCAAATGGAAGCAGAATGGTTCAAATGGAAGTAGTCTGGGAGGTTATGGGAACAAAGATCTAATAGTTTAGGGTCAAAGTTTGTTAATACAGGGGTGAGAGATGAAAGTATTTCCTGCTGCAAAGAAGAGATGCAAAAAGCAACTTCCAGCTGAGAGAGGCTGAGAACGAGCGCCTCGTGTTTTGACCAGCAAAATGCTCCATTTTGGCTTCCTTGTAGAGTTACTATGGAGGGACCACAAGGGTTTGTGTTTGAGACCTGTAAGATGCACATAGTCTGCCCAGACTCTGGCTGGGGTAAGCTCTGCTCACTGTTGAGTCAACCTCGAGAAGAGAGAGAATTATTTACATTTGATATTAAAGATGGGGTCTGTTTCTCTTCCCATTTAAGGCAGTGCAGATCAGTAGTGACTCCACTGAAGTCAATGCAGCGAGCCTGGTGTAATCAGGAGTGACTCCAGTGAGTAGTGCACTTTCCCTGGAGTAAAACTGATTCAAGTGAGAGGAAAATCAGGCCCTGAGCCTCTCTCCCTTTCTTTTTGTTTTTTTAAGATACATTTCCCATTGTTTTGATTAGGAATCAAAAGATTGGCGGGGGGGAGCTTATACCTTTTTACAAGCACTGAACGTATATCCCAACGGGGCTAATGCTCTCCTGTTTCCCTCTCTCTGGCCACCAGTGCCAACAATGAAGGGAAGTGAGCCACAGCACACTCTGGGGCCCTTCTGCTGCTGCCTACGGATCCTTCCTGCAAATGCAAGGAGACTGGGAAAGGCACTCCTCTTCCCCTGGTGGGGGAGTTGATTCATTCCTGTGGGATGGGATGGGGAGATTGTCAGAGGCTCCTCTGTTCCCTTGCAGGGCTCCCAGGTGATGGCAGAGTCTAGGATTTACTGATGGTTTAAACCAAAATGGCCAAATTGGCCCCTGCAGGGTTTTACCAGTATTATTCATCTGAAAGCAGAACAGTTCAAAACAGCACTGGCCATACACTCATTCACACCCAGAACACAGAACCCATTATAAACCACACAGGAAGGAACGGAACCTGAGCTCTTTTCCCCTGCCTCTGGAGGACTGAGCAAGGATCCTCTGGCAGATGGGCGCATCCCATGAGACTGGCTTCCTGTGATGGCAGTGGGTGGTTACTGGCAAAACTTGAGGCTCCCATCTTCTAATGTATAAGCCCAAAATCAGTCTGACTTACAGCACAGTTCATTTTCTCCCTGGGTCAGATCACAAGAGGAGCTGAGCATTTGCATCTTCCATTGACTTCTGTGGCTCCTGCAGGTGCTCAGCCTTGTTCAGGACTTGGCCCTACATTGCAGTGAGTACATCTGCTCCCTAGTACTAGTTGGCTGTGTTTGTGAAGCAGTTGTGACTAAGGACAATAGGACATAACCTTCCTTATTAAAAAGGATCCATCATCATCATCATTAATTGTATTACAGTATCACCTAGAGGTGCCGGCCAAGGCCCATTGTGCTAGGCACTGTACGTGCACAGAGCCAGAGATACTCCCTGTCCTAAAGAGCTTACAAACTATTAGACGAGACAGGCAAAGGATGTATTATCCCCATTTTTCAAATGGGGGACAGAAACTTGGGGACATTAAGTGACTTGCCCAAGATCACACAAGATATCTTTGGCAGAGCTGGGAATTCAGCTCAGAGCTCCAGAGTCCAGTGACTTAATCTCAGACCATCTCACTCTCAATCCTTCCTCTCTCAAAAAAAGAGAGCATCCCATAACATTCTGTCATGCTATAAGTATAAAGATCACCACTAGTTTAAACACAACTGCTTGTAAAATAATCATCTTGCATTTAAAAAGACCCACAAACTTGTCATTGGAAATTCAGAGGCTGCACAAACAGTTGTAGCTTAGAAGAGGAGCCTTTGAGTGAGACAGCATACAATTCTGCATAACGTGTTCCAGTGAAGTGCAGATAAAAGGTTCATCGGGATTGCACAATAGCTTTTCCTTCCAGCTCAGGCATTTGAAGGGCTACTGTCCCTTTTTGATACTCAGCAAGTTGATTATAATAGTCAGACTCCATTGTTAGGGGCTATGTCATAAAATTGCAGGGTTCATTCTGTTCATTGTATTTGCTATTGTTGGGCAGGTCTCTTCCTTTGATAATGTGAATGAATTGCTAAATTAAGAGTCATAGTAAGAAAAAACATCCGATATCTTTTGTCAGCAATGCCATGTGCTCCTCCAAAAGACCCAGGTGATTTTCATATGAGCACCCAAGTCATCATTTGACTGATATCTAGCAAAAGCAACCAGGAGCTTTTGCTAGATATTAGATATATGTCTGCAAATTCATTCTCTTTGGATATTAAAGTTTTTAAATTAAGATTGTCAGGTCAAACTGGCCTAGAATGTAGGTATTGTACAAAATGAGCATTTGCACAACCTAACACAAATAGATATGTTTCTCTGGTGGATTTTTTTCCTTTTCAAATTCAAGAGGGATCTAGAAATAGGCCCAAAATGAAACCTTAAATTCAACTACCTTTTCCATCAAATTCCAAGGGATTCTGATTCATCTCCTGCCAACATAAACCTACCTCATTCAGTTTTGCTCTGGGTTGAATTCAAAACCAAAAGACACCTGTTTTATATATCTAGGGTGAAATCTTGGCCTCAGTGAAGTCGATGGGGGTTTTGCCATTGACTGCACTGGGTCTATGATTTCGATCCTAGTACCCAGATGCTAGAGCAGGGGTCGGCAACGTTCGGCACGCGGCTCGCCAGGGTAAGCACCCTGGCGGGCCAGGCCAGTTTATTTACCTGCTGACGCGGCAGGTTCGGCCGATCGTGGCCCCCACTCGCCGCGGTTCGCCATCTCGGGCCAATGGGGGCGGCGATCGGCCGAACCTGCCGCATCAGCAGGTAAATAAACTGGCCCGGCCTGCCAGGGTGCTTACCCTGGCAAGCCGCATGCCAAACATTGCCGACCCCTGTGCTAGAGTGATAGGCACATTAGAAATGCTGACATTAGCCTAGATGGGCTGATTGATCCAGTTTAGATACATCCCACAATGGTGAAATTTTCAGGAGCATAGTTGATCTCACAAGCTTTCTACAGTTGGATATGAGATTGTGCAAGAACAGCTTGTTGGATTTCACTGCTCTTGAACTTCAAACCTACCCCTAATCCAGATCTGATCACTGCCTGTTTGGCTCATCTTTTGCCGAAAGCGAAACTGACTAGAAACACAAGTGAAACCACCCACTCTGTTTACCTTGTCCAAGATGGAGAGAAATGTAAAAAAATTGCGTACTTAAGAGCAAATCAGATTTTATTAAACAAAGGTATCATTAATACCACAGGTTATTAAGGGTTATAATTTAGTAAGGACTATAAAAAAGGAATCAGATTTTATAGTTTACCTGACATTGAATGAGAAACAAATTACTGAGATCAAAAGTTTATTTGCTTACAGTTTACTGGCTTAGCTGCGAAGCTGATTTGTTTGGAGGGTGGGGGTTGGTGTGAACAATGCAATCTTTTGAACGTTAAGTAATTTTCTACAGTAAAGCTGTTTATTGCTGCAAAGTATAACCAAAATGTTGTTTAACAAAATAAATTCGGGAATCAACTAGCGGCTTATCATCAGCATTTAGCAGTTAATAGTTTATTTAAGCAATTCAAACAACATATAGCCCCACTTCAGCAAAGCACTTAAGAATCTGCATAACTATAAGACGTTCTTAAATCCCACCAAAACATATACTTAAAGTGAAGCCTCATTCATGCTTAAGTGTGTTTCTGAATTGGGGTCATAGAAAGAACATAAACAGGCATGGTTAGTGCATTGCTCACAAAATGGGCTGGCGTACAGCACAACCTGAATCAACGCCAACTTCCACTGGACAATTCCCTGTCCTAAGAAACTACTTTTAACCTCAGATAATTTAAAGAACAGCTTTGTTCACAAATTATGCTTTGTAAATAAAGATGTAATCTTCTGATGAGTAAGAAAATGCTGTTACCTACTCAGCACGAGGGGTTTTGCTAACCAGAAAGGATTGTCTGCTTTGAAATTATTCTCTGACAGAACGCTAGGGTGTTAATCCAGCCTAGAAGAATGGTGACCCTGATTCCACTGAACAACTGCATATAAGAACTCTGTGTCCTAGTGTAACAATAGACACTGGAATTGATGGATACTAATCTCTGTGCCTTGTGAATAGTATTACCACCACTTCTGTGTCACACCTTTTACGCTGAAGCCAGTACTGCTGGATCAGTCAATATTGCATTCCACACTTTGACTGATACTCCTGCTAATCTGACTAATACTGGCATGGAAATGCTTAGTATATGATGGTCTCCATATCTGAGAAAAGATTCAGGAATGCACCAAGGGCAATTCTGAATGGCATCAGGGATGCTAACTGAGGAGATATCTGAGCCCTTAGTGATTATCTTTGAAAAGTCATGGAAGACGGGAGAGATTCCAGAGTACTCAAAAAGGGCAAATATAGTGCCAATCTATAAAAGGGTAAATAAGGACAACCTGGGGAATTACAGACCAGTCATGTTAACTTCATTACCCGGAAAGATAATGGAGCAAATAATTAAGTAATCAATTTGGA